AGTTTTATTATTACTTATTTCTTATTATTATCTAGTTATTACTATTATTATATACTTTACTAGATAGTATTCTTAATAGGAGATTCTATTACTAGAGCCTTAGAAATTAAAAATAAAGCTTTTATTTTAATATAAAATAAATAGAGAATCGAGAAGTTATTTTATAAACTCTTAATTTCGAAATACTATTCTTTTTAGTATATTTTAGTAATATAAATAATTAGAATATATAAAGAAAAGAAGAAAAAGAAAGCCTTTTATATATTTTTAAAAAAGAAAAAAATACCAAACTAGAAGCCTTTTAAAAGCTCTATTTGCTTTTTCTATTAGCTATTCTTATAGCTTATACTAGTCTAAAGCTTAATTATAATACTTATAGATTTTAATTTTAACTTAAACTACTATTATAAGTTTATTTATAATATTTAAGTAAACTTTCTAATTAGAAGTTATATATAAATAAAATAGCTAACTAGAAGCCTTATAAAAGAAAAGAGAAATATTATTAAATCTAATAATTATTTCAGAAGATATTTAATAATATATAATTTTAAAAATTTCTTTAATATTAAATAAACTAGATTTGCCTATTTAAAGCCTATTTTATACTAAGAAACTTATTTTCTTTTCTATATAATTATAGCTATATTTAAAACTTATATTAAGACTTAATTAATATATTATATATTTCTATTTTTATATAAAGGAAACTTCTTTTATATAAAACTTATTTCCTAATTATAATATTATTTCCTTATTAGAAATCTATTTCTTTTTTAAAAAGCTAGTATAATTTATTAATTCTTATTATTAATCTATTTCTTACTATTAAATATTATTTAAATAGTTAAGAAAATATTTTTAATTTCTATATCTTTAATATTAATTTAAAATATCTAATTTTCCTATATATTATATTAACTTTTATATTAACTATTTTAAATATAATAATACTATAAATTCTATTTATATTATTTTATAATTCTTTTTTTTATAGTCTTAGAATTCTTTTAATATTACCTTTTTTAATATAAATACTACTTTAAAGTTCTAATTAACTAAATAGTTTTCTATTATATAAAATCGATTTTAATAAATATTAAATAATTATAACTAGCTTTCGAAAGAGATATAAATTAGTTTCGGAAGAAGTAATATTCTATTCTAAATTATTTCTTAATTCTATTATTCTAGCTTCTTTTTTATTAATATTTATTTTATGTTTTTCTAATATCTTTAGTATATTTATATATTTTATTTTTTATATTACTTTTTGAATTAATAGAAATTTTTCTAAATAAATAGAAAATCGGAATCTATTTATATTATAAAAATTCTATTATATTTTTCTATATTCTAATATTTCAAATATTATTACTATTATATTTATATTTTTATTATATTACTTTCTTATTTTTCTATTATTACTATTTAGTTTAATTCGCCTTAATTATTTTCTAGATTATATTTTCTTAAATATATATATTAGTATTCTTTTCTATAATAAAAGCTTAATTCTATATTTTATCTTTTATAATTATTTCTAATTTGTAATTATATTATTTTAAATATATCTAATTATTATATCTATTTTTTCTATTATATATATTATTATTTTAGCTTTATTTCCTTATTAGAAAAAAAGAAAACTCGAATATATATAATACTTTTATATAATTTAAGTCTGTTTTAATTTACTTTTTATTTTAGGAAGTATTTAAAAGAAATTCTTATAAATTTAAAATCTTTAATTTTATAACCTATAATTATTATATTAATAATATTTATATAATTTTTTTAAGAATAATAAAATAGCTAAAGAATAAATTTCTTAATCTAGTAAAATATAATAACTAGTTCTTGCAAGCTATAATATTACTAAAAGCCTATAAATTAATAATATTAAAGTTTAAAGTATTAAGAAAGCTTAAATAGTTATAGAAGATTTATTAATATTAGAAAAAATAGCTATAATTACCGAATTTAATACAAATGTTTTTAATAAGCTAAGTAATATATATAATAAGCTTTTAAAGTAGAAAACCTTTATTAGAGACGGAACTAGACTAAAATTAATTAAAGATAAGCTAAAGAACTACTAAGCTAATAATAGGAAATTCGAGAATATTATTAAAGATATTACTAAAAGCAAATAAGAGAAGCTTAATAAAATTAAGACTATAGTAAATAGTCTGGAAATTAAGAGTTAGAATAAAATTATATTATATAGTAAAGCCTTTAGCTAATATATTAATAATATCTATAATAATTTTAGTAAAAATATCTATAAGAAGTTATACTTTTTTTTTAAGATAAAAGCTTTAGTATATAAGGCTATTTAGTTAATTAATAAAGCTATTTTAGAATATATTAAAGATAAAAAGTATTAAAATACTAGTATATTTACTAAATTAATTATTAAGGTATTTAAGTATACTAAAGCTATTTCAGAACTTAAAAAATTAGTTTTTAAGCTACTATTACCTAATAATCTTAAGGCTAAATAATATACTTTTAATACTTCCGGAATTCTTATTAAAGGATATTATAATAACGAATCTTTTCTTGGCTTCTATAATAAGCCTAGAAAATGGGCCCCTATTATAATTTTAGTAATAATTTAATTAAATTTAGCTAATAAAACTAAAGCTAATTTAATAAAGCCTATTACTAATACTATTAGTAAAACTAATAGAGCTAGTATAACTAATTAAGAATCTAATAAGAAAGAGAAATAAACTAAGTCTAAAACTTCCAATAAATAGTATAGATCTAAATACTAGTTTAAGTATAAAATTAATAATATACTAGGAAATAAAGTAAAGAAAAGCAAGAAAGAAATATTATTTAGAAAGATTCCGAGAAATATACCTAAAACTAAAAAAAAGAAAACTAATAATATTAATAGTATATTTAAATATTATACTTATAAGATACTAGTTAAATAAAAGCTAATACTTAGTTATTAGAATAATTATACTTTTAAAAAATTATATAATAGTATTCTGGAACTTATTTATAAATAAGAATATTATAGAATTATTAACGGATTCTTTAAAGCTTTTTATAAAGTATATTTTTAGTAATTTACTAATCTTTTCTCTATTTATATAATTAATATTAAGCTTATAGATATCTTAAAAATAGTTATTAAGATCTATAAAGTTATTAAGAATAAGAAATATATTTCTATTACTTAAATAAATAAGGAAATACGGGATTTCTTTTTAGAGAATAAAGAGATTATAAACTATAAATATAAATATCGGGTTTTTAATTAATTTCGCTCGAATTTATAGCTCTAATCCAATATTATAGCTTCTATTTCTGAGTCTAGTATTTCTAATCTAAATATAAATAGCTATATCTATAAGAAAGATTACCTGAAATAGATTAAGAAACTTAATATCCGAAAGCTTTTAATAAAGGAAATAGAGATACTATAATTTTATTTTTAAAAGAATAAAGTATTAAAATATAGAAATCTAAATAATAGCTATTTTATTTTAGTCTTTTAACTTTTAATAGCAGATTCCTTAATATAGCTTGGATTTTATAAAGTATTAGCTAAATATTCTATTTATCTAGTTATTTACTTTTAGTTAGCCTAATACTATATTTTTAAAGATATTAATTATTATTAGTATAAAGGAAATATTAATAATCTAATTATTACTAAAGCTCTAAATAATAAGTTCTTTCTTAGTAAGAAAAATTGAAATATTAGCTATATTTTCTTTATAAACTATAAAAAAGCAGTTTCTCTTAGTAAAAAAGTTCTTAAAAGCATTAATTATTTCTCTATTTATAATAATTTTAACTTGAAAGATATAAAGGAATTAAGTAAGTATCTAATAAAGAAAGCAGAAAGAAAGTATTTAAATATAATATATTTAACTAGATAGATAAATACCTTTAACTAGATAATTTATAAGTCTGAAATTATAATTAAATAATAATTCTCGAATAAAATAGTAGTTAAAGAATAGCTTAATAATAATCTATTATTCGAAAAACCTTTTATTATAATTCTAATAAGTCTAGTTACTATTTAGGACAGAATATACAAGAATAGAGTCTTTAATAAAGTTATTAAAGCTTCTTATTAAAAGCTTTCCTCTTTTATTAATAGCTAATTTAAAGATACTAAGAATAATATAAAATTTAAAAGAGCTATTTATTTGAAATATATTAGTATAATTTATAATATAATTTACTATAATAAGCCATTTTAGTATCTAGCTATAAAGGCTAAAATTAATTAATAGTTAAAGGCAGATACTAAATAATAAGAAGAACTATATTATATTTAATATAAGAATGCAGTTAAGCGGGTTCGGATTACCTTTAAATAAGTTCGAGAGTATAAAATAAGACTATTTGAGGATAATAGATTATATTTTAGGTATATTAAAAAGAAATTAGAAATGCTAGTAGAAGAGAATTCTAACTATTTCGTTATTTCGGGCTCTGAGTAGGGATTTTCTATTAGTTTTTGGTACTTAGGGAATAAGTACGAATAAATAGGGGGTCGGATATGGTATGGCAAGCCGTACTCTATTAAAATTGCTTTGTTTTAATAGTTTTAATGTTTTAGTTATATAATAAAGGCTGGGGCCTTTTGCATGTAACTTGCAGAAATTATATAAGAAAGCTGGCTTTTCTATAGTTCTAGATAATAGTCCCTTCTTTATATTTAATTAATTAAGCTTTTGCATACTATATACTATTTATGCTTTACTATTTATGCCTTTGATCTTGTTATTTTGCTGTCAAGTCACGTTTTGCGCTCTGGTGTACTTTATATGGGTTTTGGTCTTGTCGCAGTTTCCCTCCCACATTATTGAGTTTTTGCATTTTGCAAAACACTTTTAAATTATTAAAAGCTAGCTCCCAAACACTAGTATTGAACGCTAGAATTTGGTTATTGGCGAACGCCAGTAATCAAAAGACGTGCGTTCGTACGAAACGGGCCCTCACTCGCGGAGAGTACATAAAGTGGTTGTGAAAACTTTCATTATTCATTACTTAATAGTTGCCAAAGCATAGCTGATAGCCCGTCACCTAGAAATTTTTCCCAGTGTATGGGCTCTGAACTGAAGCAAATCCCTGCGGACACTGCTTCCCTAATGCCGTGCTTCCAGATCTCATATAACAGATCTTCGCAGCAGCACAGGCGTCACTAGTGCAGTTAGGACTCCTGACGCTCATCTTGCCTTGATATGTGTTGAAAGTCGTCACAAGGGTCTTATTCTTCTCCATCGCCTCAGTTAGTCCGTGCCAAAATGTAGCATTGAGCGGGGCATCTGCTGGCCACCCCACCGCCTTTCCATATGCTTCTCGAGTGGAGTATTCATATCTGAAGGTTGGGCCGGTGGAATCCAGAGCCGAGTATGAGTTGACGTCCGAGTAGAAAGTGTACGCTTCATATATCTCGAAATTTCCGGTGTCAACTTCATACATCCTGAACCCGGAATTGAGATTCGTCAGAGGCGTGACCGAGGGCCCGATCCAACCCGATGTGAGGGCAGTACTAGAGTTGCGCACGGTGCCGTTGTTGGCGTAGTAGATCATGACTTGGTCTTCGTGAGTATGGCCCCAGAGCGTATTCGCGATGACGTGCGGGGAGTAGCGATCAATAATTTGGTAGAACAGGTCAGTGGGGTTCGCGAGTGGGTTCGATCCATCCCAACCGCTCAAAACGTGACCGAGGATCCAAACTCGCTCGCCGGCATCCTCAGCAGCCTGAAGCTCGTCGATCATGAACTTGAACGTTCCCGAAACGTCTGGATCGGTAGTATTAATGAGATTGAGGTAGTTTGTTTTGAACCAGAAGTCAGTGTTGAGAGTGATGATCCTCAGACCGTACTGATTTTTGACGGAGTATGCGGCATAATGGAGTGCTGACTGGTTTGCTGTTGCTTCGTCGATCCATCCATTGTTCTTCCAAAGTGCAGATACGTGATCGAAGTTATAACTGAATTGTTTTCCAAGCGGGCCGGGCATGCTATGTGGCCCATTGATGGCTTCCGGACTAGAATCATGATTACCAAGAACTGCAAAGACAGGTCCCTTAATGTAACTTTTGAACATGTCGAAGATGCTGGTCTCGGTGTACTCGACGTACGCACGTGAGAGTTGGTTCTGAGGATCGTGGGATACAAGATCTCCAGTGTAAACTGTCCAGGCTGGGGCGGCATTTGCTGAGCCAGTGCCAGTCAAGGCTCCGATTGATTGGAGAGCAGCTAGACCCAAAGTGTACGGAGTATCACATCTACGGGAATTAGCCTAGTTGCTGATCGGATGAATGCAATTTACCTGTATGCACCGTAAAGTGGCGCTGGAAATACCGCTTGAGAGGTGGGCGCCGAAGTGGAGTATCTGCAGCAGAGACCGGAAGTACAGTTGGCTTCGGACGCAACTAAGTACCTGGGATCGAGGTGTAAATCAGACAGATGGAGAACCTTGACTCGCTTTCCACTCGGTTTTGGGACTGAGTACCTCTTGGGCTTTGGTTTCGGAAACAAGCCTGTTGTATTCAACGGACTGGTAGACGGAACAGCGCAGAACGAGGTACTAAGAGTGCTGCAGATGTATTGCCCGTCAAGTCCCGTGACATCTGCAAGTGCGAGCACTTGAGTCCAAATTGCTCCATAGCTCCCAGCTGTATATGTATTTTTGCATGATGTATTCGATGCAAATGCTGTAGATTGGCAAAGAGAGATCAGTGCATCGGGAACGTATTCAGGTGCAGATTGAGCCAGGAATTTCCCAACGCTGAGTGCAGCAATACATTTGGAGCAATTTCCAGAGAGACCCCCGACGTCGTGGATGATGCTTTTGATCTCAGCCAAAGCAAGTTGGACCAAGGACTCGGAGGTGGTATTGTTGAGGCCCAGACCTGGCGGGTAATAGACTGGATCAAGGTCCGCAGTAGGAACTGTCTTCGGGTCAGTGAGATTGAGTGGATAGGTGATGTTCAAGACATCGTCATATAAAGCAGGCTGAGGCTCTGTTGTTGGTGCAGGCTTGACATAGTAGCTCGGGAAGACTGAAGTCGGAAAAGCGGAGGGCACGACGAATGAAGCGACGCCCGGAAGCTCAGCTCGAGCCGCATGAACCGCTGTGAAGATGGACAAGGCCGTCTGAGCAAGGAGGACTATTCTCGCCATTTTGTAGTGGTGGTGAAGAATCAGCTGGGATATAATATCTTGCCCTGCGGCATGAGCCGTGCCGAGTCCGGTGGTAGGGGGGCGAATGAGGGTGTCCTGAATGAAGGGAAGCTGCGATGGTGAAGCTTGCTGGCCAGAAAGGGAGTGTCGTCGACTTTTTATCCATATTACTGATCAACCACTTTGGGCTCCGGAGGTAATCTTACCAGCCTGCTTGCTGCGGCCGCTGAGCATTATGAATTCGGGCGGCTCGACCTTTCCGGCTTCATGGGGTCGAATGTGCAGCCTTGACGGGCGGCCGACGGCGGTGTTCCTCCCTGCCAGGCTGCCTGCGTACCCCAGGAGACGCTTGCAGAGCTGCTTATCATAGTGACGGCGTGAAGCAATGGGAAAACTCTGATGGATCGACAGCGGAAATTGGACGAAGATGCGGAAAAGATGGGATACGGTGGGGTGAAATTGGGCGGAACCAGAGGTGTGATGCGGTTTCATAGCGTGTGGCTCACTGGAAACTTGGGAAGTCGTCTGATTCGCGGGCAATTTCTCCCAACAACAGCCAGTGCAGCCCTGAGCGAGACACGTGACCAGAGTCAAATTATGCTGCGACAACTTCAAATGTTGTAGCTAAAACTAAAAGACCTAATATATAATGCAAGAGATCTGGTGGATTGACAGAGGAGAATTGAAGAGCCTTCAATTTGCTATTCAACCGGTTTAAAGCAAGCTTCACTCCCTCAAACAAGTGTACTTTGGAAGTGTTTTGGGCAGCTTTTTCGGGGGAGGGGTGGAAGCGGGGTGGTACTGCAGAGTCCGCCCAAATATCACGCAGACATTAAACGGCATCAATTGAATGCCTCAAATGTCGCTGGAAAGCTTGTTCGTGAACCGGGATAATTAAATCTTCAGTTTTGTAACTTACATGTACACATAGCCTTTCTTCCCCACCGAAACCTCAAGAAACACGCAGCGTTCTCAATATCCCGTCCGATCCTTATCTTCGGCTTCTAAGAGGATAAGGATAGGTAGTATATATATTAGGACGAGGAGGGACAAGGAAAAATAATCTTCCGCGAGGATTAGGAGAGACAAGTAATATATTATAAGAGGATAAGGAAGGACTACAAACATGAGATCGGCTACTCTAACAATAGAAACAGCCGAGGCTATTCCCAACGTCTAGTACTAATTTCGTAAGGAACTCCTCTCCCGAGAGACTAGAGTGCGAGCATAATATGCGGTTTAGGTATGCTATGCGCGTCTCCCTCCCCATAGAGGGAGATGGGGTGGAATGGAAGCCCACTTGGGGAAACCTATATGTGGGCGATTGCGTTGCTAAGCACCTCAAGCGAGCTCCCCCGGAGGTGAGGCATTCTAGGAAGTCTAGAACCGGATGCCGGCTAAGGTGTGAGGCCGGATGGTTTACGTCTTCAAGAGTACCCAACCTCCTCCGGGGAAGGGAGGTCCACTTGATATGCCGTTCCCCCGATAGGTATAGGACAGGAGGTCTCTTCGGGGTAGCGTCCACGGGGACCGATCCTGTACCGTCACCTTTTCGTCCGCCTATTCTATCGGGGGAAGCACGCAATACTACTGGCTTCTCATTTTTCTTGTGTCACTGCGGGACCCGGTCTGCTACATCCTGGGGAGGGCGTAGCGCAGCAGGCAACTGTGCGGACTGTTGAATGAATCGGTCAGACCGCTTTATAGCCACCTTATGAAGCTGTGTATTCTATGACTAAATCAAGCAATCAATCAGACTGAACCCTAAGTTGGAAAATATCTCCAGGTTGAGAAGACCCAGTTCGCTGATAAGCAACGTGGCCGCTAAGTCCGAGCCCATCTCTTTCATTCCACCCTGACACCACGTTAACAATAGATGCGATGACTGGGAATCCGTTCTCATTTAGTATCGAGACATAGACATCGTTCGCCTGATTAACAATGAAATTGAACACCACACCGTATACTGTTGCGGATATTTGTTTGTACTCTGGGGGAAGAAAGAAATCGTAAGACCTAATAACCCGTCGATGTAGATTCGGCTCCTCGAACGTAACAGATTTTTTACTAATATTATAGCTTGTTAGTCTAAAATACACCCTTTAAAGGATATAACCTACATAATGTTTTTAGCAAGACTTGTGTCTCCCGAATGAAGATCTCTCTTATTCTGTGTGATAGGGCCCGAGCAGTAATCGTGGGTGGGATCGTTGAGACACTGGGAACAGAGGCTCTGTTCTATTGCAGAAGTTGCACACGCAGGCCATCCACCATCGCAATGGGCACCCCAATACTGACAAGTATCGGCAGCTGCATTGAAATCATAGGCCAAAACGCAGCAAGAAATAATATCCCTTATTGAACTTTTCTTGTCGAATGCTATAGTTTGCCCAAATGGTAGATAAAACAGGAAAATCAAAGACTGGATATATGCGATTGGCTGCATTATAGGTTGATAAATGTATATATGTTGAGAAGATATCTGGAAGACGGTAGTGAAAAAGGAAATGCGAGAAGGTGCGTTTTTTCTGCTCTTATACTTTATACTACTACTAGAATTACACCCTGCCTACTATTTTCCGGCCATATTACTCGTAAATAAGTCGAGTCAAAATTATAATAATACGAGATCCTTTAATTAAATAATATTACAAGCTTTCAAATTACAATTATATTAAATTAATCTAAATTTATATAAGAATTTAGCGAATATATTTAAGTTTAAATAATAAGAGTTTTAATATTTCTTTAATTTTAGTAAGGTTTAATTCTAATATAATATAATAAATATATAAGTTAAAGTTATTTATTTAATATATTTATAAGTTAATATAAATAATTACTTATATTATTAGTCTTTTTTTTAATGAATTAAAACTATATAATTTTTATTATTTTAAAATTAGGGTTTCTAATTAATAAATTAGACTTCTTATTTAAATTTGATTAATTAATTACTTGTATTAATATATTACAAGAAATAAGTAATATATTAGAATTTAATTATTTATAAAATAACTAATATATTAAATAATTTAAATAATTATAATTATTAGCCAGTAATTAAATTGAATTAAATCAGAATTATAATAATTAAATTATAATTAATTACTTTAATTTTTTTTAATATATTAAAAATAACTAAATATAAAAAAGTAAAGTCTAAAAATAAAAGAAAAAGTATTTAAAATAAGAGTCTTTATTTCTATTATCTATTAATAATATTAATAATACCGAGCCTGCTTTCTTTAATATATTATAAATCAATTAATAAATTAATTAATAAATTAAAAGTAATTAAAATAATAATATATTAGTGAACTTAATAAGTTAAATAAGTAATATATAATAAATAAAAATAAAAACCCCTAAATTAGAAATTAAATCTAATATTAAAAGAACTAGTAAACTAATATTAATTTAATAATAATTAATTTTAAAGGAAATAAAATTAAGTTATATATAAATAATAAATATTATATATAATAATAATTTAAATTAAAGAATTTCAACTTTTTTAATAAGTTATATATATATAAATAGAACTCGAAATTAAGTTAATTTTAAATAAGAAAATTATTATTAAAATATTTAAACTTTTAAGAAAGATTTATTAAATAAATTTTATATAATATATTAATAATTCTAATAATAATTTTTTAGTTTATATATTAAATTAAATAATTTTTTATATAATTTATAAACTATATTAAACTTTATAATTATATAAAGTTATATTATAAATTAAAACGTGAATTTAATAATTCTTTTTTTAAAAAGGCTTATTTAATATTAAAAATAAAAATATTAAGAATTATAAAGTATTAATTTAATTATTAAATATTAATTTAATTACTAAATATTAATTTAATTATTAAATATTAATTTAATTACTAAATATTAATTTAATTATTAAATATTAATTTAATTACTAAATTAATTATTATATTAAAAACTATATATTAAATATTAAGTAAATAAATTAAAAAGCTTATTATAAAGCTTTAAAAAATATTAAAATAAAAAGTAAAGCTATATTTAAAAAAGAATTAAATATAAGATAATATATAAATTCTTAACTTTAATATTAATATATAATTTAATATATTATAAATATTATAGCCCTATAAAGAAAGTCTATAGACAAGGCACTTATAGAAGAACTATTTATTTAGAAAACTAAGCTAAAAAAGAAAAGAAGCCTCAAATTAAGGTTCTTTAAATATTTATAGTTCTTTATTTATAGCTTAGTCTAATAGAGCTTAGTATTCTAAATTTCCTAAAATATAGCTTTTTTTTAGTAATATAATTATATTATATATAATTATTAAATAACTATAAATATTTAAATATTTAAATAATTATAAATATTCAAATATTTAAATATTTATAAATATTTAAATATTTAAATACTTAAATATTATATTAGATAAAATATAGAATTATAATATTACTTTTCTTTTTAAAAAAAAGCTTATTTTTAAATAAATAGATATTATAGAATTATTATTCAAATTATTATAGTTCTTTATTTCGTTTTTCTAGGCTTATATTTAGTTAATTAGTCTTTTTAATAAATCTAGTTATTATTAATTAGCTAAGTAATAGTTTTATAACTTATAAAAAAAGTATTTTAAATTAGAGGCCAAATACTAATTAAAATCTTTATTATATCTAATTTAACTAACTTTATATAAAAGCTTATTTTGCTTTATTTTTAATATTAAAACGTTTTATATTTTATATTTATAATTTATTATAACTTGAATTAGTAATAATAATTTATTTTTCTGGCTAAATAATAAATTATTAATAGCCTTATATAAATAATTAAAAGAAAATATATTATAAATCTTAATATTTTTAAATAATTTAATTTTATAAAAGTTATTAATTTAATATAGAATTAAATAAAGCCCGGCTATTTAATAATTTAGCTTATAGCTAAAGTATTTTATTTTCTATTTCTTTATTAATATATATATTTTATTTCTTATTTTAAAGTTTATAAAATAATATTTAATATTAGTATATTTTTTTATTTTTTTATTATATTTTTTATATTATTTTTATTTCTTTTTATAATATCCTCTATTTATCTAGTAATTTATTAAGCTTTTATTATATTTAGCTTGTCTTAAAATATAATTATTAGAATAAACTAGTTAAAAAAGATTTATAAAAGCTTATTATTAAGAAATTTATATAAAAATATACTAATAAAGCTATATAAGAAAATAAATTAAATATAATTAATTATTAATAAATATTTATTCTAGTTATTTTAGTAATATATAATATATAAATATAATTATTAATTAATATATTAGTTTATAATTTTTATTTATTTATTAGTTTATAAGTAATATATTATTAATAGCTTTAGCTTTATATCTAGAATTCTATTAAACTTCTTTTAGAATACTAATATAAATTATGA